CCAATTCAAGTTTTGTGCAAAAACGCATGGTCGCACCGGCTCGCCTGGTGCGTTCCAGCCTGGGTTTGGATACCGGTGATTAATAGGGTTGTTGATGTTACGAGCTGGTCGGATACTTGTCTGGCCCAAAGATGTCCCGACAAGTAATGGCGGCGCCAGACCTCCTTGTTTGTCATACCCGGCTTTGTCTGGGCCTTATTTTTTTCTACAACGGAGTAGCATCTATGAATAGGAGGCGTGGCTTCTGTTTGTTGTATGAGCGAGCCTCAACTCGGTATAAATCAGTATCAGTTCCCAGTTTTTCGTCAACATCGACCCGGAAGCGCGTCTCGTTTCCCTATCGGCCCAACACACACATCCGCCCACACCCCGCATCACACACACTCATACACAAACGCACCACCCGCATTCGATCGCACCAGCGACACAAATAGATACCCTGGGCGAAACAATTGACACCCTCGGCTCGTACCACACGCACGTGTTGCCACTTTGCGCTGCGTCACTCAAACATACATCCATAAATATATACATGCATACACACGCTCACATACAGGCATGCAAGTATGCGCACACATAAACACAAATACATACACACACGTACACACGCATAAACTCATACTAGACGTACATGTATGCAGACACATTTAAAAGCTAAAATGCATATTTGTTTAAAAAAAATGCTAAACTTGGCGAGATTTGTCTTGCTAGCTGTTTTACTGTTGTGCGTAATTCGTCACGAATACGTCACACCGATGAAACCAAACATTTACTGTGGCGGGCAGGAAATGGCAATATAATCCGCATGATTTTTAATCGTGCAATTTGGGACGAGGTTTGCCCAAATTATATGACGGATTTTTCAGACAGCTAATCCTTTTTAGTATTCTGAATTCATTGTTATTATAATTTCTGGCTCCTGATGGTATCACAAAACAGTAACAGACTCGCTCGGATTCGACAAGAGGAAAAACTCAAAATCGATTCCGCCGTCTAAAGCTTCATCCATTACCTAAAACTGCGTGCCTGGAAAACTTCGGACAGCTCTTGGTTCTCGAACATTTCAGATGGCAACTCTTCCATTTGCTTTGACTCTACTGCATCGCCTTATACGAGCAGTGAAACTGTGTCTTCGTTTATTAATTGAGCTCAATTAAAGATTGTAATCGCCTTGCAGCATTTTTGATCGTGAAATGAAATTTCCTTCAACTAGTGGCTTAAAACAGCAAGCATCAAAGACTAGCGAGTTCATGAGCATCCGGACTGTGGGCGACCAGTGCGTATTAGTACACACGGGGATGCATCGCGATATACTCGGACAGGTCGAGCGCATGGCAATTATCATACGTTTCAATGGGTAACCGGTCCCCTTCTCTTCGCAGTCGAATACGAATTGCTTACCACTGCAAGTTATTGGCCCTTATGTTGCAAGGCTAGCTAGAAGCACTCTTTTTTTGAATCCGCTTCTTCTAAGACACCTCGTGCACTTCCTCTGCCGTCGTTTTCGAGTTATAACTATATCCGTTTCGGAGCTGAATTTTTGTTACTTTGACGAAGTCACGATCTGCAAATTGTTTTTCTGATTTTACATAAAACACTGATTAGCAGAATACTGAATACTGCGGTCATTATTCTCGGAATGCTGATTACAGTATACGGCAACGATACGGTGAGCATTTGTTACAACTCAATTTCACTTTTCTCTGAGAAAATAAAGCACAAGGCAAAACGAATACTGAAGTTTTGTTTTCTCAGCGAAATTTTAGAATCAAATCAGTCGAATATTTTAAAAATTTTTATCGTCCAT